CAGTGTGCAGAGGAGAGTTAAATTCCCAGATGTCCACAGAATTTCTTGTATAGATCCATAGTTACTTTTTATATTCAAGATCCAATCAAAGCACACAGATTATACATTTTGTTATGTCCCTTTAGTCTGTATTAATCTAGAATAACCCCTTGCCTTTTAAAAAGAATAGTATTATTTTTTTTAATAAAAAGAGCCCAGGCTTGTAGAATGTCCCACATTCTAGATCTGTCTGAATATTCCTCATGATTTAAATCAGGTTAAGTATTTTTGGCAAGAATATGATGGAGAAGGTGCCAGGTACATGGTATTGTATCACGTCGGGGCAAACAATGTCAGGCTGTCCCCTTCTGGGTGATGCTGAGTTAGACCCTTCAGGTAAGAAGGAGACTGTAGATCTCTTCTCTGCAAAGGCGCAAGTCCCTCTTTCTAATTAGTCAATAATCTGTGCTGTGAGGTTTTGAACCATGTAAATATTCTGTTAACCAATAACTTTTCACTCCACGGCTTAGGCTTCTTGCTGATTCTGTGCTCACCCAAGTTTGAGAAACAGGGAATTAGGCAGTGACCCTGAGCTCTGGCCACCTTGAGTCAAGTTGTATTTTCAGCATACCTTTTGTTTTTGTTTTTTGGTACCAGGGATCGAATGCAGGGCCTTGTGCTTGCCAGGCAGGCACTGTGCCACTGAGCTACATCCCCGGCCCTTTTTTTTTTTTTTTGCTTTCAACTGTGTAAAAATAAACCCCTAGTGATTCCCATTTAAATGATCTGGGGTAGAGTCCAGGAATCAAAATATCTTAAAGTTTCCTCAGTGAGTCCACATGCAAGAGAGCCACTGTGGAAGGTTCACCATAAACTGAATATCAAAATGAAAACCTAGAAAATTTTAAGAAATGAAACCAGTTCACTCCCACTCTTAGTTACCCCTGTCCTCGAATCACAGGAGAGAGTCCGTCACCTGGCAGACCAAAATCTCTGGTGCTCCTTCCACACTACTTGCAGCTCTCTCTATGAGCAAACAGCTTTGGGCAGGGTACAAAATACTTAGGAGAGAGGTCACTTCCCTCAAGAGCAGGGGGACGTGGGAAAAAACCCCGCACATATAAATACACATGAGTATTGTACAATGGCAGTTTCATAGAGCAGGAAACCACTGGAAGAGGAAACGACCGCCCTGAGCTCTTGCTGGAGCCAGGACTCTGCCCTGGATGCCTCTTGTTCGGCTCAGTTTTATTTCAAACCACGTGGCATCTCTGCACTTCCTGCATGTGCTGCTTGGGTCTGGCCTGGAGCCATGTCGTCTTCACCAGCATTGTCAGTATGGAGACAAGAGCCACCTAGCAAGGCTTCCTCTGGGCCAGACATTGGACTAGGAATCAGTGGAGTGGATGAGTGAGTGCAGCCAGCCAGCAGCTGCCCACTGATAGCCATTAAGAACCACTGCATCAAGTTCCTCCTGGCAGGAACTCCTTTTGAGGCTGGAATGAGCTCAGTTTTTCACAGACCCAGGAGCCTCTAGGACTTGTCTCACATCATAGCAACCCTTATAAATTCACCTAAATTCAACCTTCTGTATAATGTGTATGTAACTGAGTTGACTGAGTTGCAGTTGAATAGTTGACGGAAAGTTATGTAAAGAGTTAATTCTATATTTGTAAAATTGGTGTTTCTGATTTCATACGATGGAGCCAAGTCATTTTTTTTTTTCAGGTCCTCAGATATTTCCAGAGCCTCTTAGAACATTCACTGGCCTTGGGTTGTTCCATAATATTTTACCATAGGTGGTACCATAAGTGACCTTGAAATCAAGGGCAGGACTTTCCTGGCTGCGGACAGAAGAGAGCATTTGGAGAACACCAAATGTGTTGCTTTTAAGGACTGAAGTATAGTTTACCCTTCTTAAGAAAATGTTTATTGATATATAATTCACATACCATAAATTCAGCCACTTGAAGTATAGGGGTCCATGGTTTTTAGTATATTCATGGTTGTGTAACCACCATTACCATCAGTGTTAGAACATTTCATTGCCCCCAAAAGAAATAGCCTTTACCAGTTACCCTCTCTCCACTAGTTCCCAACAATATTCTCCCAGCTCTCGGCAACCAGTAACCTGCTTTCTGTCCCTACGGATTTGCCCATTCTGGACATACCAGACAGAATCATACAACATGTGGCCTTGCAACTTGCTTTTCATTGAGCATTGTGTTTTCAAAGTTTGCCCATGTTTTCAAAGCAACTACATCATTTTACATTCCCACTAGTGATGGATAAGGGTTCTAGTTCTCCTTATCCTTACCAGCACTTGTTGTTATTGCCATCTTAGTTGGTGTGAAGTGGCATTTTATAGTGGTTTTGATTTACATTTCCCAGATAGCTAATGATGTTGAGTATCTTTTCATGTGCTTATTGGCCAATTCTGTATCTTCTTTGAGGAAATGGCTATCCAGATCCCTTGAACATTTTAAATTGAGTTATTTGTCTTTTATTATTGAGTTGTAAGAATTGCTTAAGTATTCCAGCTACAAGTCTCTTATCAAATATATAATTTGCAACTACTTCGTCCTATTCTGTGGGTTGTTGTATTAGTTTGCTAAGGCTTCTGTAACAAAATTACCACGGACTGGGTGGCCTAAAAACAAATTTATTTCTCACAGTTCTGCAGGCTGAAAGTCTGAGATGAAGGTTGACAGATTTGGTATCTCCTGAGGCCTCTTGCCTCCTTGGTGTTTCTTCTTCGAAAAATACTAGTCATACTGGATTAGAGAGCCATCCTAAATGCCTCAGTTTAACATTAAAACCTTTAAATATTGGAAGATCCTATCTCCTCAAATGGTCACACTCTGAAATACTGGGGGTTGGAGATCAAACATATAGATTTGGAGGAAACAAAATTCAGTCTCTCTTTTCACTTTCCTGATGGTGTCCTTTGAAGCACAAAATTTTTAATAATAATCGAATCCAATTATTTTTTTGTTGCTTATGCTTAGTCATATCTAAAAAAGGATTGGTTAATCCAAGGTTACAAAGATTTACGCCTAAATAAATCTGAGAGTTTTGTATGTTTAGCTCTAACATCTGAGTCTGATCCATTTTGGGTTCATTCTGTATATGGTGTGAGGTAGGGGTCCATCTTCCTTCTTTTGCATGTGGATATCCAGTTGTCCCAGCACCATCTGTTGAAAAGACTAGTCTTTCTCCATTAAATTGCCTTGACACTTGTGCATTAATTTGCCTTGACACTTTTGTTGAAAATCCATTGGCTGTAAATGTAAGGATGTATTCTGGACTCTCAGTTTTATTTGGTTGATTGATATATTCATCTTTATAGCCTCACCACACTATCTTGGTTACTTGTTTTGCTTTGTAGTAGGTTTGAAATCAAGAAATGTGAGTGCTCCAGCTTCTTCTGAATACATATACTCTACCTTTTGGTATCAAATACAATGAGTGATGCAAATGAACATCGACCTGGGGATTTGGGACACCTCCTCCCGCTTAAAGACTTCATTTCAGGAACACAGGCTCCAAGTTCTACACTTGCCTTGGAGAGATGGATTACCACCCTCTCAACCCACAGCTCTTCATTATAAATCAATGGAAACATTCTGCAGAGAACAATGGTCCCCTTGGGTTATTTTAAACATCACTTTAAGTCTTCCCCTCCTGCTCTGCTCTCTAATTGCTCCTACTGAAACAGTGTCAGTCACAACTGGATTATTAATGAACTGAGAGGTAGCTGGCGGCAAATGAAGGGGAGACATCAGAGGACTTGACTAGGGCCCAAGGGGCCTGGAACAAGCCCAACCCATAGGTTTTTGCACCTCCAAGAAAAGTTAATACGTTTCATTAGCAAATAGAAAATCACTAAAACTCAGGTAGTACTGTGGCCTCAACAGAATACTGCCTGTAAGGACCCAGAGTTCTTCAAACAAGACTGCTGTGAGTTGAATTAACCATCCACCATCTTCAAATTCCCCCCAAATTAAGCCTTGTCCCCCTCCTCCATGGTTGTCCCTGGGGCGCTTAGGGTCCTAATTTGCAGCCCCCCCCCCAAAGCTCAGGAAACAAAGCCCTTTGTGGAGAAGAGAACTCTATTGTTCTAAGGTCAGTGCTCAGCGAGTGTAGATTCCAGAGAAAGTTTTGGGATTTTTTCCCCCCTTTTGTTTATTAACTTTCTCTCCTCTTCCTGGTGGGAGGAGGGGTTGGTTCTCAGCAGTAATTTAAAGATAGTGAAATCCACTGTTGAGGAAAGAAAGGAGTATAGTGTGGGGCCTTCTGCCCCAGAAGAGTCTGGGATGAGATGACAGAAGCCACCTCGTATGTTTTACCTTGTATTTTCAGCATGAAATCTCAGGGAGGCAGCCAGGTCCAGATCCTGCACATCAAAACCCGACAGACGTCAGTAGAGGTACACGACCACTTCCTTCCTTCTTTGACTTAGCTCCCTTTTTTTCAGAAAGAAGAGATGATGCAAGTCCACGTCGCAAGTTGCGACCCACATGCTCCCACTGTGTGCGTCTCCTCGACTGAAATCTTCCCTGTCCCCAGGGCCAGGCCTGGTCCGGTCTCTGGAGGACCCGGGAAGCCTTCAGACTCAGGCTGCGTGCCTCCTCAAGGTAGGGGACTTGACTTTCTGGCCCTTGCACTACTCTGTGTGACCATGGCATGTTACTTGTTTCTCTCGGCCTCACGATGCCCATCTGTCAAATGGGAGCAAGAACCGTCCTCCGGCTGGCTTTCCCTCTTTCCCTCTTGGGGGTTGGGAGGAAGAGCTCAAAAACCAGCTTTTCCGAAGTCCGGCTGCAATCCAGCCCTTTTCACTTTCCTGCATCTCAGAGAAGGTTCCCCACCCCTACGGCGCTGGGACCCTTCCCACCCTGGCTGGCTCGGGAACCAAATGGGGTTTGCGTGCCCACCCTCTTCCTGAGACTCAGGCCCCGCCTTGGGGGAGGAGCCGAGAGCGGCGCCGAGGCTCGCGGCAGAGCGGAGCTGGCTCTGTATCCGCACGAGCTGCTGCGGCTTGGGGTCCTACGAACAGAGCCAGGGCCGGGAGCCGCCCGGGGCAGGGCTCGGGAGAGCGGTGAGTTCCTCAGCGGCGCCGCCTTCTCCCCTGCGCTCTGCGGCAGGATCGGGCCGGCCGGGGACGAGGATCGGGGCAGGGAGGTGGTGGTCTCAGCCTCTGATAGCCTGGCTGGGGGCGAAGAGCCCTTTGGCCAAGGGCCGGAGGGTGGAGATAATGTGGGGTGGGGTGCCCTGGAAAGACAGGTATGGAGAACGCAGGGCTGGGGAGCTGGGCCCGCGTGTGGGCGTTCTCCCGCGTCTCGCGCTCCCTTGGCGAGGCTGGGGTAGGGGTGCGTCGGCAGGTTGTTGGCTGGGGCTGTCGTGGCCCGGTCTCGGGAGGGGCAGGGGTTCTCCGCTGGTTCAGGACTCCCGGGCCGCTCTCAGCCGAGGTAGCAGTGCCGGGCGACCGGAGCCTCAGAGACCAAACACCGCGGCGCCGGGTCTTGGGGCCGGGCATGGGGCGCCGCCCCCTCGCGTGGCGCCGCTTGGTCCCAGCAGGGCGCTCGGAGCGCTCTTGCCTGGGCGGGAAAGGTCCTCAGGGCAGGCGCCCCCTGCGAGCAGATCTGACCCGCCGCCGGATCCCACTGACCGTGCCCGCCAGCCCCGAAAGATGCTCGTGGAAGCCCCCTGAGAGCAGTGCGCAGGGCCTCTGCCCAGGGCCGGCGTGCGCGGGCTGCTGGGTCCCCCACGCCTGGAGCGCTCCTCTCCTCGCGAGTCCCGCGCATCCGCTCCGGCAGGGAGGAGCGCCCCCGAGCGCTTAGGATGGGCAGAAACCGTGCAGCTCTCTCCGGAGAGATCGCGCGGAGGGGTCTCCCCAAGGTCACCCGGAGTGCCAAGATCGCCCCAGGTGGGAAGCAAAGGGGGAGGCGCTCGCTATCCTCCTCTTTCCTGATGCAGACTCTTCCTCCGCCCTCCCCTCCCGGCCTGGCCTCCGGCTTCACTGGAGACGTTGATAATGCAACTAGCTGCCGGGGAGGATAATTGAACCTTAGCGAGCTGTGAATCTGGCGGTCCCGGGGGCCCCGCGGCGCGCCACCGCCACGCGCCAGGCCTGGGACCCGGTGTTCCCCGGCACCGCGTAGTGGAGGGAGAGAGATGCGGCTGCATAAGCGCTTCTCAGAATCGAAAGCCAAGCTGCTTGTGCGCCCATGTGATTAGATTCCACATAATGGGCCCCTGTTCTTGCTCTCAGAGGCGCCCACCAGTTCCCCGCGGCCTGGAGCGCCAGGTGCCGCCTCTGAATCGCCCTCTGTGGAGGACCCGGGGCCCCGAGGTACCAGGTTCCTTCTTTCGCGGAGCTCTCAGTGGAAGGGGCCTGCAATCAGCGGCCTGGGCCCTAGAGAGTCCTCCTGGAGTGCTTTGCCATTTCTTGCGGCTGGTGAAGCCCCGGGGAAACCCTCCTTCCAGGCTGGTAACAAAGCTGCTCCACTGAGCCAGCGACTAGCTGTCTGCCTGTGGGAGAGGCGCTTGGCCTCCCGAGCCCCAGTTGTCTCTAAGATAGCGGGCACAGGCAGGCTGTGAGGTGATAAGTGAGGGGCCTCGTGGAAAGCCAGGGTGCCAGAGAGCATGGGAGGCAGAGTGGGGTGTGTCTCTTAGACAGGGGCAGGAATGGAGCCCTGGTGGGTGGTTCTGCGGGGCTGGGGGAGTTCCACATCTTGCTCCCTCCCTCTGTCACAAAACACCAGCTTGCAGGAGGCGGTGAGGGGCAGTGAGTCCTTCCAGCGTGCTGCCTGCTCACCCCCCCACACCTGTCACCCAGATCCCATCTTCTCTGCCCCAGGCCATAGGATACTGCAGGCAAGGTGTCACCAGGTCACTCAGACCTTCAAGTCTGTACTTTACTGTCTGCTGCTGACACCCAGCAGTGTCCCCCAGCTTCCTGACCCCAGCTTTTCCCAGCCTATGGAATGTCCTTTAGGAAGCCCACCTGATCCTTCCTCTCTTTTGGTCCCCTCCTGCGTGACATTCGTTTGTGGCTCTAGGGGTTCAAGCGCCAGGGCCCGGTGCTTCCCGTTGCTCCCCTGGCCTGGATGTACATGGTAGACAAGGGGCATGCCCGGTGTCTACTCAGACTTTGTTCTTTCTGCTAATTGAGCCACAGTGGAGGTTAAATTCTAATCTGGCTGTTAAGTCTTTAGGAAAGCTGAAGGCAAGGAGGTAGTTTTTCCTAAGACTAGAACCTTTCTGCAGAGTTCACTTGCCCCTTTGGAAATTCAGCCAAAGCTCTTATCTAAACCGAAGTGGGCGCAGAGCAAACACTCTGCCCAGCAGAGGCTGCAGCCAGCCTGCTTTTGGAGCACAGACCTGGATTCAAGTACTGGGCTTGAACTCCCACCTTCGCCCCTCTCTGAACCAAGCCACCCTAACTGCCCACCTCCAGGACACCTGTGGCATTTGCTGTATAGTGGGTCCCAACTGAGATCCTCCCAGCCAAGACTGGGACACCTTTCTTTGGCCTGGCACACCTCGGAAATGACAAGCCTACCCCCCACAGAAAGCTGCAAATATGAAAAGCAAGGGAGCCAGACAGGTCTAGCTGAAATTACAGCTCTAAACCTAAAAGCTCTGGGACCCTATGTGGTGCTCTTACTCTCTGGGCGCCCAGTTTTCCCATCTGTAAAATGAGAACCATGGTGATGCTGGCTTCATGGGGTTGTAAGGGTTGTGTGGGACCATAAGAAGGAGAACATATTTAGTAAAGAACCTGGTGCAGGGGGGAACACAGGAAGTGCTTGTTGTCACCATCTCTGTCATTTCCTCCTTTGTGTTGGGCTCTTAAAGGTCCCACCTCCTCTGGTTCAGGGGAGTTGAACTGTGTCTCTTCTGCCTCCTGCTATCCAGAAAGGGGACGCCTCTCTGTGCCTCTTGGAGATGGGCTCTCTCCCCTGGGAATTTGAGTCTCGAATAACCCTGTCCTCAGGGGGCCTGTGAACCTCCACATAGCCTTTCTCAGCTGGCTACCATTTTCCAGGCCTCTTTGATTTCTTCACTGTAGACCTTCTGTCCATTGCAGACTTTTTGTTGAGCAAGAGGTTTCCAGATGACTAAGGCAGCAGTAGGGGGAGAGGCAGTCCTGGAAACAGACAGGGAGGACCCATGGGATCAAGACTTCCATAGCAAGCACGAGTGGGGACTTAAGAGCATGGGAGCACAGGCTGACCCAGTGTGGATTCAAGCTGCCACCCTGTCCCTGGGTGATGATAAATAGACTCCTTACCTCTCCCGAGCACAGGCTACTTACCCAAGGTGGTGAGGTGAGGAGAAAAGAGACACTGTGGGTAAAACCTGACCTCAGGGCCTTCTAGATATGAATAAATGCTTGCAGATGTTGGTGTACTATTATTATTGTCTATTATTACCAATAACAGGTGGGCAGAGTTTGCTGTGGGAGCATACTTGAGCTCTTCAGTGAGTTTCCCAGGTGGTAGGTAATGGAGGGCTGGACAGCCCTAGAAGAGATAAGCACATATGCAAAGCATACAGGCTTGAAAGCGTGCAGTGTCTTTGGAGAGCCAGGGGAGGCATCACAGCTGGAGCTAGCAGAGCCTGGCAGAGGTATGAGCAAGGCTGGGGAGGGGGCAGAGGCCATCCTGCCAGGGCCCTGAGAGAGCAGATGCTCGCTGACCCAAAAGACACCGTCTAGCCTCGTCCAGTGGTGGCTCTCTGAAGAGAGCTATAGAGTTGAGGGTTGTTGCACGGGAGGAAAGGCTGGCCTGTGCTCAGCCCATGTGTTCTCCATTCCTCTCTCTTTGCTCCACCTTCTTGAGATGTGTCTCCCACCTCTGCACCTGCTTTTCTCTTCCTGGGACTCAGTTGTCACATGAAGGAAGAGGGTGTGGGCAGAATGAGGGGACTGAACTGACTCTTGTCGGTCTTAATATTGTGTGTGCCATGTGGCTCTCTGGATGCAGATCACTGCTCATGGTCTTTACTGAGTTGTCACTGAGTCCTTGTTCCAATCCCGTGAAGTGGATGCACTTACCTCCATTGCACAGATTGGCCAACTGAGGCACAGGGGGAGACAGTTTGCTAAAGGCCATCTGTGCACATAAGTGACTGCTATCTGGGGAGTCTCCAAAGTTGCCGTATCTGGCCTGCACCCTTCCTTCATGCTCTCTGTAAATAGCTGAAGCTGACTGCAAAATGTCTGGGTTCTCTCACTGTGGACCCTTGGGTGCTGGGTAGTAGGCACCTTGAAGATGGGTCACAGTGGGGTGTGTCCTGTCCTGATTTGGGGGAAGTGCCTGTGTGGGAGGAGGTGTTCTCCAAATCCAGATTAGCATTCCTCAGCCAACTGGTGTCCCATAAATGTGCTTTTGATGCAGTTTGTAGCCTGATTGATGTGGCAGGTGGTGGCCAGGCCCCATGGTGGCCCCAGGGAGGAATGAGTCTTTTAGGATGACTGCTCAGAACATCACATGATGACAGACCCTTCCTGTCACAGAAGATATCCAAACAGAGGCTCAAATTTCCTTTTTGTGAGGGCAAAGTTTAGGGCCAAGATTCAAATCCTGGCTCTGCTTCCCACTAGCTCTTGGGCCTTGGAAAAGGTTTTCATTTCCTTGAGCTTCAATCTCTTCTTCTGCAAATACAGACATATATACTATATAGTACACACATACAAATCTGGAGCTGTTGTAAGGATTTATAGTCCTATGTGAAGTGCCTGGCTCCAAAATTGTAGATAATAGTGAATAAAGTCCACCAAATTTTCCTCCATGGTACTTAAAATAATTGTGATTATATGGATATATATATATATTATTATTATTTTTTTTTGGTACCGGGGATCAGAACTCAGGTCCTTGCGCTTTCGAGGCAGGCGCCGGAACCACTGAGCTAAATCCCCGGCCCTACATGGCTATGTTATATGGTGATCCATTATTCTTTCAGTCTCTTCTACCAGACCAGTGGTTCTCAACCCAAAGTCACAACCAGGTGGGAGGGCAGAGGAGGAGGGGAGCTACTGGCATCTAATACATAGAGACTCAGATGCTGCTAGGTATTCTATAGTACACA